TGTTGAACTCCATGAGGTTGGCAGCCCTGAGATGCTATTCACTTGTACTTAAGCTGGGCCTAGTTTCTTCAGGGAAACGGGGAAATAACTTTTTCATGTATAAACTATTGTTCTGTTAGATGTAAATGTGGGAAAAGCAGCTTCTCTGCAAGGCTACGGTAACACCTTATCGTTCCTTAGCTACCAACAAGGTCAAAGTGCTTTAATACTACCGTACTTAAATTGCTGGTAGAGCCTTGAGCTAAGGTGGAAGCTGCAGATCTGAGTAGCAGGTGGTATCTGAAGAAAGAACAGTGTCTGAGACTGGGCAGGCAAATACGCAGTTAACAGTGTTTGCACGAACTTCACGGCTTTTCTAGCTGGACAGGAAGTTCCCTCCCTTATGATTCATGAGGTGCACAATGTGCTGACTGTTGATGCTAAACAGTTACCTGGGAAAGCTTTAAGCACACTCTCTAACCTTGACAGAGGAGATTACAACATGATTAACGGTAGGAGTTGTGATGGTAATGCTTTGCTGAGGCTTGCCGAGCCTTCGTGAGCCACTGTGACATTCAGCTGAACTTGTCAGTAATTGGTTCAGGCGTCCTTGACCTTCACGCCAGTCTCTCAAACATCAGCTTCTAAAATGGCATATTTGTTCTGTGAGTACTTGTTTGGAACAGCAAAACTGTAAATTTTAATCTCTTGCATAGTGAGCAAAACCCCACTGCTACGTGTCTCTGGAGCAAGTGGGTCTTTAGGCTCCAAGATCTCTTCAGGCACTGGCTTGCAGTTGATACCTGCAGTAAAACCAAAGCAGGTCTGCAACAACTGAGTTGTTGTGCAGTAGCTACTCTAAGCCACATAACACAAGTCTAAACTTCAACTTCAGCTCTAAAATGTATGCCTTGCCCCAGGAAGGCAGGGTGCATCTAGTAGGGTATGGCTCTGTGGCCTCGGTTCCACCTCCAGCCAGCTGTATGCGCTCCTAGTTACTGTGAGGAGGAGGAAGAAGGCCATCCAGGGGGGTATTTTGGTCACGGGAGGGCCCTTCAGAAAGGAGAGCATGCACACTCCCTCTCTTGGCAATGATCTTAGGACAGTAATATTTCTAAAAAATAGAGAATTGGGTGACTTCTGGGCTTGTGTTTAAGCCTTAATCCAGGGCAAAAGCACAACTCAGCCTCTCACATGGAGGCTCAGAATGTAACTCAGCAAACCTTCCCGTTAACCAAAGCAGGGCTAGCAGTGGGCAACATCCTCTGCTTGTCTGACTACACTGAAGAGGTGTTGGAGAGTTTGGCCTGTCCACGCTTCTGTCTGCAGCAGTGACAGGCCAGGTCAGTGGTTTTAGCCTGGCAATCCAGATGTGTCTAGGGACACAAAACCAACTTTTGCACAATAAAGAAGTGTAACAGATTTTTTTGGATGGATGGTATGGGGTAAAACTGAACACAGGGAATTTCCTGTAAAGAACAAAAACGTTAAGTGTTGACTCCAGTCAATGCCCTTGGCCAGGAAGTGCTGCTCCTGATTGTTAGCACGGATGAACAGATCATCATAAGGGATTATTTTTCCTATAATAGCTACTTTCAGTTGTTGTAACCTGCTAACATTGAATGATTCACTGAGCTTGGGAAAAACGGCCTAGGGGGTAGCCTCAGCTTCACTCTTTCTGTGTTGGGAGAGTGATGATAGAGATCACCCAGCTCTTCAGGGTTGCACATCTGATAATCTGTCATGGTGCCTAATCCAGCCAGTACAACTGATGCCTGAGCCTTTTGTACAGAAGGCTGTCCCTGTCCGCTGCGTTACACGAGCATGGGCTGCAAAGCAAGAATAGTAGCTGTTCATGTCAGTGTGCTTGGTTGACGCTGCCTCTGGATGCTTTAACTAGAATCTGTGACCAAAGCTTTGACCCTTATCAGGTAAACTTTGCAGTATTTCTGTCAGATGCCACAGCCTCGTGTCAGAAATGCAGAGGGGTGTGTGATTTTCTTCTTTCCATTGTGTTCGGAAAATAGCAGAGATCTGTGTTTCGGGCTCTGGCACTCTCATTGTTACGAGCCTGCAGGTAGTCTACAGCAGAAGCCAATGTAGGTCTGCAGCCTAAAGGAGCTGCTCTTTAATTAGCTGGAAGGTCTATTCCTGCGCCCGCTGACTGCAGTGGAAACGGGAAGTGAGATCTTCAGAAGTGGTGTGCTTTCTTCTTGTGTCCCCAGGGACTGCAGTGCCCTGGCTTTTGACTTGAGCGTGCTGCCAGGCTCCTTCACTCCTGCGGCTCTGTGCGGAGGATGGCATAATCACTCTGATCAGCTCTGTCTTAAAACATCACTCTTACGGCAGAGGAAAAGATTAACTTCCACTGGATTATGCTCTGTGTGCAGGCGACAGTGAAGAGCCCAAGTGAAGGTGTGGGGCTGGGAGGAAGTAGTTGCTCGGCTGTAAAGGTGATCTACATTGCTAGTAGGCTTGGGTTTTTTCAGTGAAAGAAGCTGACCTTGGTCTTAAAAAAAAAAAAAAAAAAAGTAGTGAAACACTGCAAAACTGCCCTGAATGCCTCCTTTTAGGTAAGAACTTCTTCCCCGGGCTAAATCTTACGCCTCCAGCATGAGGTCAGGTGGCTTATGTAAGCTGATCTTTCGTCATGGTATACCTATCAAAACATACTTTTCATCAGGTCAGTGCATTCCTGTGTTCCTGGTTCCTGGCATAACTGGTTGCTCTAAATGACGCTGCGTGAAGCACCAAGGACATAGGGCAGTGCACTTCAATAATCTTTCGAAGAAGTAGACACCCACAAAACAAAGAAAAAACCCCTCATACCTAAATATGTTTAGCCTCACGGACAAAAATCACGTTCATTATAAAACCTAGGTGGTGTTTATAGCATAGCCTTCGGAGGGGAGTGCTGCTTTCTCCTATCCTGAGCTCGCACTGCTGTGTGATTCCTGGGCAGCTGAGCCTGGGTTCTGGCTACTGGTTATCACACTGGTGGAAGCAGCTGGAGAAATAGTTACGCACGCAGAATTTTCCATTAATCAGAGGAAAAGTCCTATACAGATGGTATATAGGATAGATTGCAGCTAGTAATCCTTTTGTGCCCTAGAAGATTAAGGATATCCTGGTGTAGCTGCAGTCAGCTGACCTTTTTTTATTTAAATGACTGAAAATTCTTGATGCAATTCTGCAGAAGCGCAGGGCTCTCCCAGAAGCCACGAATGGTGCGCTGCGAATGTTTGTTAAAGGAACGGTCTGTTGAAGTCCAGCCCTGGTTATAAATTTACAGGAACCTAACTTTGTGCCGTGTAAACAGCAGCAGCTACAAGATGGCTAAGAAATCGCTTGCTAGATGGCTCCATCTCATCTGACAGAGGTGTAAGAGAGCTGAATTTTATGAGGAGATACAATGAGCATCATGTGAAGAAACAGAGGGCTTCTGCATCCTGCTGTCCATTTTATGAGGAGATACAATGAGCATCCTGCTGTTCGGGTCGCCCCAGAAAGCAAGGATGAATGCTTTGGTGGAAGAAGAGGATGGCTGCACGCTCTGAATTTTCTGGCATGGATCTGTATGAGGATTACAAATCCCCCTTCGATTTCAATGCTGGAGTGAACAGAAACTATCTGTACCTGTCACCTAGCATAAACCTTTCTCCACCTGGATCACCTACACTGGCAAAGTCTGGTAACTTCCTTCCCTCTCTTTTTCAAAACCACTACATGGAAAGCTTAATGGTTGATATCTGTAAAAAGGGACGTCTCTGAATTTAAATTCTTAAAAATTTGGCTGAAACGCAGTTGTAAATGAAGGTAGAAGTTGACCTGCTGTTGACTCTCGTAGTTTATTAGCTTTGGTGTGTCATGTAGGTAAGATCTGATGTGCTGTGCATTTGCCTTATTTGTTATTTCTTAATTAAGTAGAAAGGCAGTTTGAGGGAAAACAAATTGAGCAAAACAAATTAGGAGTAAAAGGGCAACTTCTGGAGGATTGGCCTAGTTTGACTATTAGCTTTTTTAGGGGTGGGGGGAGGAAGGAATTGCATACTTAGAATACCTTCAGAGCTCTGGATAGTTTAACATCTGCTCTTGCCTTAGTACGGAAAATATCACCGATTAATGAAAATGCCCTCTAAAACCTTTACTCTGTTCCAGCTAGCATTTGAAATGCTGTAAATCTTACGCTGGCAGATAACTAGCTGTACTTGTGCTCCCCTGAGGAAGCGACTGTTGGGCGCTGTGCTGCAGCGGCATCCATCTAGTGCTCAGCCTTACTAGTTTCTGGCTGATAACCTGGTCTGCTGACCACCTACAGCTGTGCCTCCCAACACATCCTGGTCCGGTTTTACTGTCTTGCCTTTCCATTCCCTGCTCTTGGACGTGATCTTCCAGAGTTATTAAAAACATAGCGGGGTTTTAACGTTACTTCAGGAGTGACAAAGCAAAGCAAAGTTACAGAGGTGTTGGCTTTTTTTTTTAATTGGCTCATTCTTTAAACTCTTAAAGAAATGTGCGTCCCTTGGGGAACCTCTGTGAACTAAAGCAAACCCCTCCACAAACTCGATGATCTAAGGACCTCTGGGGAGCAGCGGTCAGCTTTCACTTCTGGGGTTAGTGCGTCTCCCACCTCTTCTAAAGCGGGGGGAGCAGTCCTTTAATCTGGTGGTGATGCATCACCGTAAGCACCAGCCTTTGCTGGGTGCTTTTTTTTCCATTCCCTTTGAATGAATGTATCGTTAGTGTCTGGGAGAAGCCCAAGAACTTTCTCCCCCGAGTTGAAGAAATAAGTCTCGCTTTGACTTTTTCACAGAGGTAGATCAAATTTAAGTGGTTCCCATTTTTCTTATGTATTGCAGAATAAATATCCTCTGTAGCACTGTACATTAGTCTAATGTTGGACTGATCTTTTAATCTTGTAACAGCTTGTTCTCCTGAACTCTAACAAGTGCCTTTTTTAGTAAGCTTTGCCAACTGTGTAGCGATACCCAAAATACTCGTTCTGAGTATCTGATACAGAACGTGTTAGCCTAAAGGTAAGGCTTTGTGACGGCTAACCCTCCCCCACCCCAAAGGCCACTCATCTGAAATGACCACTATTTCCTTAAACTGCTGATGTTTACTGTTAATCTCTGAATTCAGGCCAGAAAGACGTAGGAACTTCTGGTTCAACTCACAAACTTGGGTTGAAACCAACCAAAGCGAACCCCAAACTGGAAAACCTGAGCATAAATTGAATGACATTGCCTACCCCAGCAAAATAATAGGGACTTCGGTGCCGTTTCCCTGAATGTGATCTGTGGAGTCCTTAATCAACTAACTTGTGCATGTTTTTATTTGGGTTCTTTAAGTAGACCTCATAAACTGCTGGTATGATATGTTAATCTTACTAATACGGGCATATAAAAACTGACCTTAAAACTATGTAGGTTTTCCCAATACTAGGTAAGTCTTCACAGTTGTTTTTTTTCCCCAACAGAATTTTTACACTTTTTGAGAGAGAGATGTGAAATGCTCAGCTAAATTTAATAATCACAGTACCAAACAACTGAATTTTAAGTCCTTTGCAACTCTGAAGATGCAGGAAAACTAACGTAACAGAAGGTAACAAGTTAGAAGCTGGTAGCAACAGCTCTGTTGGTGAACAGAGTAGACCACAAGTCAGAAATGCTTTCTTAAAAACAGACTGAGCTGAAGTATTTCGATCTGTTGGCCAACTGCTGATTCCCTGGTTTCTTGCCCTGCACCCCACAGAAATACCTAAGGTGGGCTGTGCACCTTTCCTTACATGGCTTGCTTAGAGCCAGGATGTTCCTGTCTGTCAGCTCTAGTTTATGGGGTATATTTGGGTTGTAGCCACACCATGGTGGAGGTCTGTGAGTGGTTATCTCTGTTGACAACTGCTGCTTGGTCAGGCTGCCTCATTCAGCCTTCCCATAGCATGGGTGAACCCTGTGCTCTGCAAGTGTTGGGAACTGAGGAATGAGGGCCAAGCGAGCAGAGGTGAAGAGTAACAGGGATGAGAGGGGAGGTGCCAGAATAAAGGCTGATGGGAAGGTGTCTGCATGCTTCAAATGGTGCTAAAGAAAGGGTAATAAATGGAAGAGGGAGAGAAGGCACTGTGTCCTGGGCTGTATCCAGAAAAGCATGGCCAGCAGGTCGAGGGAGGGGATTCTGCCCCTGTACTCTGCTCTAGTGAGACCCCACCTGGAGTGCTGCGTCCAGCTGTGGAACCCTCAACATTAGAAGGATATCAACCGCTTGGAGCGAGTCCAGAGGAGGCCATGAGGATGCTCAGAGGGCTGGAGCACCTCTGCTATGGGGACAGGCTGAGAGAGTTGAGCTTGTTCAGCCTGGAGAAGAGAGGGCTCCAGGGAGACCTTATAGCACCTTCCAGTACCTGAATGGGCTACAAGTAATCGGTGGGGGACTTTTTACAAGGGCCTGTAGTGACAGGACAAGGGGGAATGGGTTTAAACTGAAAGCAGATAGATTTAGATTAGATATCAGGAAGAAGTTCTTCCCGGAGAGGGTGGTGAGGCACTGGAACAGGTTGCCCAGAGAAGCTGTGGATGCCCCATCCCTGGATGTCTTCAAGGCCAGGCTGGATGAGGCTTTGAGCAACCTGGTCTAGTGGAAGGTGTCCCTGCCCATGGCAGGGGGGTTGGAACTAGATGGGCTTTAAGGTCCCTTCCAACCCAAACCTTTGTGTGAAGGCGAAGAGAGGAAGACATGGATAGATGCACAGGCTGAGGTATGGAGGACTGAATAGCAGGCATTTCCTGCCTTCCTAAAAGATCTAGAAATGGGAAGGACAAGAGAGATCATTCCCTTGCATATTAGCATTGTGTCTTAAGCTCAGTGTAGGCAACAAGCAGCACAAACTCCCTTAAAACACTAGTTTTTCCAAAGAGAAGGCAGTTCCCAAAACAAAAGCTGTTGTTGCAGGAGGCAGTCCAGCATGTTTCCTACTGCTGGATGAGCTTGATCTATTTTTGGGGAGATAATCCAGATGACTCTTCATAACCAGATTGAGGAGACTCTCTCAGCTGATGTACTAATGCTCTGGGAGTCAGCGTGGCCTTCGGTACTTGCAGGCTTTCCAAAACGGCTTTTGCAGCAGCGAGCTCTCTGGTCCATGGAAGGCCCAGAGGTGGAGAAGAAAGTCAGGAGTCTTCGTGGCTAATGGACTGGGAGTCGTAGAGTGTCAGGGGCAAACACCGTCTGAATTGTTTGTGTTCCTTCTGTATGGGCATATGTAATTAAGAGGATAAATAGCCATTTAAGAAAGAGTTATGGTGTTCTTAACTCTCTGACATTAAGAAAAGGAGATAATGTTGAGGTATAAAACAAAAGTTACCTGATTGTGAGACAGGTGTTCTGGACACAAATACTGACAGAAAACATACTGTTTGGGAAAGAATTTGTGGAACTGAGCTTTACCTTAGTTCATTAACTAGATCAAGAACAAGGCCTCTTCATTTCTTGGGCTTGACAGCTGCTAGGAGCATGTTGTAGAATACTTACAGCTAATGACAGACTCGCAGATTCTTTTTTTACCTGACTTTTCAGTTGATCGTGATGTAGCAATTTGATATTATGCCTCATGACGAAATCATAGTGGTGGTCTCATCCCACATTAACGAATTTTTGTGTTCCCAGAGCAAATGGTGGTATGGAATGCCATGAGAAGCTGCCGAAATGAGGATGGAATTTTATCTGGTTAAATACTATAGTGACTAGTAAGGGAACATTACTTAATATGTCCTCAACTTTTCTGAATTATACATTTATAGACATATATATGTACATACACACTCACCCTCTCTCCTTACAAACAAACAGTACTGGGTTTTTTTCTCCTATTTTAAGATTTTTAATTTCTTTTTACTACCTATAGAGCTGTTTTACCTCTTGATTAGAGAATTCGTTCTGGGAATCCACAACCATTCCAGCATGTAGTCTCTCTGCAGACTGCTCTCTTTGCAAATTAGAACAGGATTCCTTAATTCTGGCAAACTGTATGTTTTAGTGTGAGCTACAAAGACACCAAAAAAAGGTGTTTAAAGTGCTCTTACTGCAAGCAATAAGGACTAAGAATAAATGAATCTTTAAAGTGTGTGCATCATAGTAAAACTATGTATTTACTAGTACTACTAGCATACATAGTAATATCCTTTCCCTGAAGCTGGGAAGATGAAAGTTGAGGAAGATCACAGGGATGTTTGGGTTCATACAGAGGAGTTTGGCAGAGTTTTGGTTTCTGGATTTGGAAGGAGGGGTGGCAGCAGTATGAGTGGGTGCACATCCTCATTAGTCCCTTCTCGGCACTCCACCACTTTGTGTGAAGTGACGGCCTTTTGTCCCAAACTCCTTCTCCTGGCTTCTCATCTGTCTTAACGTCCAGGTGCAAAACAGAAGTTTACTTCTAGTTCCATGATTCCAGGGACTTCTTACCTGCCATTACTAGGGGCAGAGAGCTTGAGCAGAGTAAGAGGGAAGAGTTTGTACCTGCAGTGCAACCCTTTCTCTGCTGTTGCTTGTTGCCATGAGTGTTCCTGGTGTGCTGAGAATGGGCCTTTTTAATCTGATCCAGAGAGCAGTGAGGGAGGGAGCCTCTGCATTGGTCTTGAGCACCTCCAGCGCTTCCAGAATTTGCGCTGCATGAGCAAGAGAGTGCAGAGTGCACGTGGACTCCTGGGCAGAGGTGGTGTAGAAACCACTAGTTGGGACATAGTGTTGCGTGCCTTGGTTTCTGTCAGAGTAGTGGGATGCGTTGTTCTTGGCATATTTCCAGTCTCCTATTATCGTGGCAGATGCCATTATATTAAGCTTTAATCCAACTTGATAGAACAAAACGGCCCGTCAAATGCCCCTGATTTCCTGTATGCTGTAGTACTTGGGGAACGTGACTTTGTGGTGCCCTCTCATCAGGTTTTTTTCTGCACAGGCACAAAAGGGCTGCATATAAACATTAGCTGCTGTCTGGCAGATGTGATGACCTGACTTTTAATGTTTTATTCACCTCAAGGGCTGCTGAGAAGTGACTCTATACCTGAGGTGGGAGAGGATGCTGCTGCCACAATTGGTATGGAAGGCATACTCTCGGAGGAAGAACAAGACGAGCTAAGAAAAGAGCTTGCTAAGGTAAATCTCTTGCAAATAGATCTTTAAACTGGTTTTGAGAATGAAAATCTAGGATAATGCTGTTTCTGAAGATACGGTTAATGCTTTGCATATTTATTCTGTGAGTGTCTAAAGCTGGGTACAGTAGGGAGGAAAAGGGAAGGTTTCAAGGAGAAAAGAACAGCCAGTTCCAGCTATGGGGAATTGAGTGCTGAGTGTACAGGTCTTAAACCAAGATGCAGAAATGCCTAACCCTTTTTTCTCCTCCAAGTGAGAAGGTGGTACATATGCTGTCAGAAGAAGAAACCAAGTAAGAATGAGTTAAAGTAGCAGCCTTCTAAGGCCAGTGAAATATTCAAGCCTGATGCATGCATTTCAAAACTTGTCAAACTTTGCTGAGTTGCCAGTCTTCATTGTTTTATAGCTCTATGTGACTTTAGGACTCTATTAAAATATTAGACATTAATTTAAGCCTAAGGCTGGTACACGAAGATTAGCTGTGAAACAAGCACATTTAATGCAGTCTTGGGTTTGGCAGTCCTGAGCATTACTTCGTGCCAAACCAGTCAGCTGAAGATGGTGAGGGAAATCTGATCCTGCCAGGGTACATCACTCTGGACTTTGGACAGGTATCCAAAACAAAGGTGCATTGAAGATACTGGTATTTCCTTAAAGGAGTGGACAGCCAGGTACTCTAAAGTCGGGTGGTCGGTCTGGATGACGGAGTTGGATGTATGCCTTCACCTTTGTACATATGGCCTTAGTGACTCTGTCACATCAGTACAGCCCACAGAAAGGCATCGTAAAACTGTTCTGACATCTCTGATCATGATCTGCTCGGGCTTCTGTGAGAGGCTTAAGGGACCATCTGTCAAGAAGGAAGTATACAAACAATACAGTTTTCTAGTTGCTGTGGTTTTGTTGTGGGGTTTTTGTTTTTTGTGGTGTGTTCGTTTGGGTTTGTTTTGTTTTTTTTTTAACTGCTCAGCCTGTCACCATTTCCACCCCTGCTCTGGGGAAGGCAGTCCAGTGGCTGGATCCAGCCTGCAGTTGCTGGCTTAAGCCACAAAAGAACCTTTCTGTTCAAGGAGACAAAACTTGTGTATGAATCAGACATGCTTCGAGCTTCCTGATAGTGGTCATACACTGATGTCCTTTCTGAGGTGGAAGGGGAATACAGGCTTTGGCGATTGTCCCAGGTTTGACTAATCTTCAGCCTTCACATAGGCTTATGTTGTCTAAAGGTAATAATTTCTAGCTATACCATCTGTATTTTAGTTATCAACTTCCTTGTGCATAAGCCAGTAACGGAGCTAGCCACAGGTAGATCGCTTTCTCACTAGCTCTTGTTGTAGACTATGTTGTATTTACAGAGTTAAAAATGTGTTAGCCCTCCCATTACTAATTCCCAGTAGATATTTTAATAAACACATAGTTAAATGGCTCGGTATATCGCTTGTAACTTACCTCTCATCAACTCTGCTGCCGCAGGTGGAAGAGGAAATCCAGACACTCTCACAAGTGCTAGCTGCCAAGGAGAAGCATCTAGCAGAAATCAAGAGAAAGCTGGGAATTAACTCATTGCAGGAACTAAGGCAGAACATTACCAAAAGCTGGCAAGATGTTACATCAACTACGGCGTATGTACCACTTCGCGATGATTGTCTCAGCTGTTAAAGTGACAACTGTCTAGTTCGTGTGTCATGTCTAAACCCTCTGTTCTTGTGAAATGAGTGTAGCTAACACAAAGTTAAGTTGCACTAACACTTACTTGGATAAATCATCGTAGATTTCTTTAAAGAAGGGCACTATTAGCCATATCGCCTAATGCAAAATAAGAATGATGGACCATAGTGTGGGTGATTCTAACAGACTCTTTGTCTGACAGAGCTACCGTTGCTGAGATACAAGATGCTGTCAGTCCAACAACACCCTTCTTTTCCAGCCTGAAAAAGTGTTGTAACCTGAGCTCGTGCAGGAAAAGTGCAAAGTCACAGTTAATATTCTTGCCAAGCACAACTGTTAGCTTACGGCCTAGGGTGACCTGCCCTCTGCAGTAACGACTGCACAGAATGATTACGGCACAGAATTTGATTACTACATCCACAGTAAGAGGATGCACCTCAAACTTTTTGTGGTGGAGTTCATTGACAAAACCATTCAATACAAGATTTTAGACCCTTGGCACAAAAAAATAAATCTCTGTTCTTTTTCAGTGTGTGTGCATGGTGGTGTGGGCTTTGTTTTGTTTTGGTTGGTTTGGTTTGTTGTTTGTGTTTGGCGTGGTGGTTTATTTTTTTTTTTAAAGTCCTACAATAGCAGATAGCATCTGTTCTAGGGAGCAAGGGGTAGAAGGTGAACCTGATCAGAAGTCTGAGGTGGCAGAGGTGCTACCGCCTGAAAGGACTGCAGTGGCTCAAAATAATCTCTTACGTAGCTTGTCCATTTGACCCAGAGTTGAAGTGTACCTCTGGGGTTGATACAAATATATATACATTAAAAGGTTCCATATGTGTTCTATTAAAATAACTACAGACCTAATTTTGTTTGAACAGATACAAGAGAACATCAGAAACCCTGTCTCAGGCTGGTCAGAAGGCTTCTGCTGCATTTTCATCTGTTGGTTCAGTCATAACCAAGAAGTTTGAAGATGTCAGGTACGTTTCCTTTAGCTTTTCCCAAGTAGTTGCGTTTGTCATTTAGGGAAGTGATCACTGAAATAAACGTACACTGTTAATGTATGTAGCACCTCTAAAAGTTAATCTGTCAAGAACCCTCAGTGTCTGTTTTAGGCGAGCTGAGCGACTCGCTGCAAAATGTGCTTGCATGCCCTCACTGATGCAGGAGAGCTCTGTGGTGCCTGAGCAATGTGTGCTATTGCGTCCACTCTTCTTTTTCTGGGAGGATTGCAGGTGGCAACGTCTCTGCCTCTGTGTGATGCACACAGCACTGCCCTTTCTGTTCCCTGACTTTCTCAGCTTGTGGAATACCACGTTTAAACAACTAATGTCTTTAACTGTTTGCGGTTTGTCTTTGTTACTGGTTGGTTGTGTTTGTGTCTTGTGGGTTCCTTTCAGGTGTGTTTTATTTCTTGGTAAGCTGTTCCACCTCCTAGCAGTGGCTTGATTTTATTACCATTTTAATAGACTATTGGCACTTTTTAATTCTTAAATATTGGCATACAACATATTTTGACTTTATCAAATGACACAGTCCGTATGCAAATTAGGTAAGTTTGGTGGTCATTCTTGGCACAATCCGATCACATGCTTAGCTTACAATTCTTTGATATATAATTTTTACTACTGGAACGTAGACAGCTATTCATCTCTGCTTGTAATTTGTTGCAAACAGTGGATCAAACTTACTTTTCAATTATTGGACAAAGAAAAATTCACACATTCTAGCAGAATATTGCTGCATTGGAAAGCAGTGTAATAAAATCAGCCCTCTGTTTTGAAGTGCTGCCATTAACCTCCTTCTTGCTTTTGGAAGTCTAGTAAGAAAACATTTGGAGGTGCAGCTACAGAGTTACATATTTTTCTTCAGATTTATCAGAACTTCCTTTCTCTCTTTAATGCTTACTCTGGCATTGTGCAGACTACAGGCATTTTCACATTCCTTTAGGTAAGGTGGGCGCAAGAATTCTTTCTGAAACTAAGCATGTAGTCAGACTGTCTCCATTTAAATAAGTTTTGTCTGTAAGAGGTAATTTCTTTTTTCTCCAGTGTTGGTTAATGTAAAACTGAAGCTCTTTTCATGTCAGGGAAGATATTCATGTTCACCCGGTAACTATCCCAGAACATGAAATCTTGAGAATACATAATAATCAATTAGTCTCTCTTCCTTGTAAGAAAGGAATCTTTTTAAAATGATTTTGCAAGTTGTTTTTTTTTTTTTTTTAAGAGACAGAAAATGGTTTTGAGGTCAATGGCATGCAGAATTCCTCCTCCTCTTTGTCTGTACAGTGTTTGTGACTTGACAGAGTAGAAATTTTCCCTTTTTTTGTCTATTAAAATGACTGTTTAGCAATGTGACTAATCAAATCACTAGAGTCTAAATATAAAATAGCTTATGCATTCTCTCTTTATAGTTTGTCCAGCGACACAGTCCTTGTCTTTAATTACTTTAGCAGCTCCAGACACTGGGTATTTTTGCTACCTTGTCTGCACTGCCTTTTATCTGCCTTGTCTAAGCAAATATTCAGCGTTAGCTGTTCAGTAGTTAACATTTCTGTGTAGCAACTTCTGTCCATTGCCTCTCAACCCATCTGTGCACACCTCTGAGTCTGGTTTCATCTTTTCTGTACCTCCCACTAAGTAGCTAAAGGCAGTAGTAGGATCTCTATAAAAGATACAGGGATCTGGCTCCTAGTATACTAACTAGGAGCTGTAGCCCCAGTGGCAGTGTTTGGGAAGGAGGTGGGCAGCGGCACAGGATGCTATCAGAACTCAGACTCTGAAGTGAGCTCAGTTTGCTTTAAGGTAAAAATAGCAGTGGGTTGGAAATACCTCCCCTTTAGCATCAGTAGACAAAGGGAGCATGGAAGATGTCTCCCTACTTTGTGGATGCAGAGTTTGGCTGCTCACTTCACAGGGTTCCCCTTTCTTCCTCAAGGCTATGGTGTTAGACTATTGCATTTGACAAAGACAAGCACAGACTCCTAGCTCTCTGCTGGCTTCAGAAATTTAATACCTCAAAAGAAGAGTATCCTAGTTACTCAACTTAGTGGCTAGGTGGGTGTTGGGTACTCTTTATCAGAAACTGGGCCACTGGGAGGAAATGTAACAGGGCCAGGAGTCCACACTGTTAGTGTGCTTCTTGGGGAGAATCACAACAGTGGAAATTCAAGGTATTCTTACAAATTCAGGAGCAGCTGGGTTTAAAAACAAACCAACCAACTAAACAAGAAGTGGGAAGAACTAGTTCTGTTCAGGACTGTAGTTGCACTTAAACAGCAGATGAAAAACCTTTGAGTTTTTTCCTTTCATGAGGACCAAGTTCATCTGAGATTCAGCGAGTGAATTCAGGTCCCAGGGTTATGTGACTACTCAAGTGGTGTCTACTTTTAAGTCTGCACAAGTCTGAACTTCAGAATGTTTTAGATGCCCAAGTTCTTTCTGAGAAATGAGAATTGATGGGCCTGATACTTGAACAAATACTGAACACGCAGACACATTTTTATTCTTACACTCTTATGTAGCTTCTTCACTGTGGCTTCAATTTTCTTGTAGTGTTTAGCTTACGGACTTCTCGGCTGTAGTGCCATCATTACTGTGCTGGAGTATTTCAGTGTTCCATACAGAAAACGTCACATGCAGGTCTTCCTTCTTGCACTGCAAAGTGAATTGGAGGGAGTTGCAAAGAGGGAGTAAGGCAGCTGATGCAGCTGTGAACTCAAGAGTACTGAAATAAGGAAAATAAAGAGGATTGGTAGTGTGAAGTCAGTGAGTTATTGCTTCCTTTTTGTGTTTGTGCCCTCTGCTTTTTGTTATGCTGAAAAAGAACTCTGATCCTCCTTATGTTTCTCTAAATACCTTTGTTCTCCTTTATAAGAATAAGTTGAACTTTTGATGAGCTATCCTTGTGTACGCAACATCAGTATTCGGTGCAAAACAGCAGTAGTACCAAGAAGTAGCTGTCTGCAAACTTCCTGAGCAATCATGATTTTAAACTTGGCTCTTCTTGTACTGCATCCATGTTATAGAGCAGAAGTCCTCATCTTTTCCCTGTTCTGAGACTGCAGAATAACTTTCTTTGCTGGAAAGCTGATGTGCTCTTGGACTCCTGAATATCATCAAATCACAGAATGATTTGGGTTGGAAGAGACCTTGGAAGAGAACTTTCTTGGTTGGAAGTTCCATCTAGTTCCAACCCCCCTGCCATGGGCAGGGACACCTTCCACTAGACCAGGTTGTGCAAAGCCTCATCCAGCCTGGCCTTGAACCCTTCCAGGGATGGGGCATCCACAGCTTCTCTGGGCAACCTGTTCTAGTGCCTCACCACTCTCGCCGGGAAGAACTTCTTCCTGATACCCAATCTTAATCTACCTGCTTGCAATTTAAACCCGTTACCCCTTGTCCTGTCTCTACAGGCCCTTGTGAAAAGTCCCCCCCAGCTTCCTTGTAGCTCCTTCAGGTACTGGAAGGTGCTATAAGGTCTCCCCGGAGCCTTCTCTTCTCCAGGCTGAACAAGCCCAATTCTCTCAGCCTTTCTTCATCATTTATCAGCATAACAGCTGGAAACCGAACTATTAAAAAAGGCAAATAACTGGTGCGTATGCACTCTAAGTCCATGTTTTCCAGGCAGGGACTGTGGTATACCTCTCTGTGCATTTTCAAAATGTGAGGCAATGTAGTAGCTATAAAAAAAAAAAAAATGTGTAAAGGATAAGAAAGCTTTTAATGTGATACAAAATGCATGGAAGGCTGGAGAGTGGCTTTTAGTGCCTTTTTTTTTGGTTTGATTTTTTTTTTTTTAAGCTAGGGGTTTTCTTATGCGCATTGTAAAAAGGGCTTCTCTTCTTCAAACCGCCTGATATGATGGCCTAGTCGAGTGAATGCTTTGATGTGGCATTCTGTCATTTCTGAAAGGAAATACAAGTTCTCCTCTTTGTAATGATTTTCAAGGCTTAATTGTGCTTTGCATTACCTGAAGAACAGGTGATTCGATGTCACTTCTCTTGCAAACCAGATCATCCTGTGAGGAAACCGTATACTATCTTACAGTGACATTTTACAAAATGGATACTGAATATGCATAAGTGTAATGTACAACAGGAAGTGAATCCTTCCCTTAAGGGAACTTTTTACACGTGTAGGGCTTTTTTTTTCTCCTATCCCTATATTCTATTGATGAGCCTCCTGAAAGAATCCCTTAGAACTGGTTCTGCAGTGAACACAGAACCTTTTTACTTCTGTGATTGTATCTTCCATTGTGCTGAAATACTAACTGGAGTTTTGGAGGTACATTGAATATGAGAGGGGGGTGATTTTGTTTTGAGTACACAGGGATATTCTAGAATATGGAATTAAATTAGATTCCAGATGGTCTTGAATTTATTTGGAAGCTCCTTAGTCTATATCCAGTCACCTTCTAGGAGTAGGTGTGTGTTGTCACCAAACAAACAGTAACTGTATAGCAATACTGGCAGGTTACAGAAATCCTCCATGAATTTCAGAACAGGGTTGACATTAGGTCTTTCTCCCTGCCCCCAGCATAAACCTGACCTTGAATATAAATTGACGTGAATGCTCTTGCTAGATAATTTGTATCGATGGGTATGGAAATCTTACACTGAATTGAAGAGGAAGCCTTCTGAATGCAGAAATAATTCTTTCAGTAGGCAAATTAGTTGATTGGTAAGACTCTTGAGTGTTCATTTTCTGCTGGATGCCCTCGAAACTGTAAACGCAGCATGACTCTCACTGCCTGAGAAACGTCACCAGTAGGCAGACCGTTGCAGCGGAGCAGAGTATGTACTACCAAGCATGGCACTTGAATCTGTCACAAAAGGGAAAAAGTTGTTGCAGCTTTTGCTCTGATGTACTTGTGTGTGTGCATGGCTAAGCAACTTAAAAAAGCAAAACCAAGCAGTTACTGTGTAAGACTGCTTGGCTCTTTACCAAAGGTGGTATCCAGAAGTCAGCTCTCTAAGCTAGTTTTTTCTCAGTCTGTCACTTAAACTAACTTCTTGCTTTCTTTTTCCTTAATGCTGACGTTTAGTATACGCTCCATACAACATTCAATTAGCATGCCTATTATGAGGTAATGTATGCGTAATCCAGCTGTTGGGTTTGTTTATTTTCATGTGTGAAATCAAGTCAAATTGAATTTAAGGCAACTGATGTAGATTTAAAATGAAACGAAAAAGCACCCACCCAACTTTGTAAAGGATTTCCTGTACTAACATACAGGATAAAACTTATTTAGGATTAATGGCGGTGGTTATCGCACATCTGGAATGTGACCAAGTGCGCTCCCCTGCTGTTTGGAGAACTAAACAACTTTTCCCTGCCTGTTAGAAATGTAATGCTACCAAATGATTCCAAGTTTAAAAGGCAATAGCTTGGCATCAGTTTTTGAACAATGAAAGTGAGTAAAAAATACTGTGGTTTCACAGAAAGTCTCTTGCTGAGTTGGAGTGTTTGCCTTTTCTCTTCTCCCTCTGCTTGGCACTGTGTACCTTCATCTCCTGAGAGTCTGGTTTGATATGGACCTGCCACTGTGTGCTTTCCCAAATGCAAGAGTGCTGCTAAGCGTGGGTGACCTACACAAATACCAAGCAAAGGGGGAAGGGAAGCTTAAGACCTCTTTTGGAAAAAAAAAAACCAAAAAACCAAACCTCCTGTCTTTCATCTTTATGTAATATATTTGTTTTGTCTGCTATGAATCCTTATCCCTTATTTTCTATCCTGCATAAAGGCAGAAAAGGTGTACAAGCTGTTGCAGAAATTTGCAAATGGCAGTGACAGCTAGTCGGGGCATTAAGACACTCTTCTGACCCTAATAAATAATGCACTGGCCCTCAGCACTGAAAATCCCAAGCTGTCCTGCTCTTCAGATGCAGAACGTACCGTTTGTAATCACAGCTGTCTCCAGCACCTAGAAGGCAAGGGGGAGTCTCCCTTAAATGTACCCTGTTAGCGGAAAATGCCACTGCGAAGCATGTTTTGTTAACTGAACACCTATTAAATTAAACTAGTTTCTGTATAACAAGTGAAAAAACTCTGATGACAGGCTTTCTTCAGCAGTAATGTACTAGGCTAACCAGAAGTGATGACTAAGCTTTTCTGAACAAATCCTTTAAGGTAGAAATCTGTTTGAAATCATTGGGAATAATAAGCTAAACCTAAAATACTGGCTAGTTCTTCCTTCCACATTGTGATGAAAGATCCTGTCGCTGAGCCTGGCAACACTTAGTCGCCAAAGATACAAATGAGCTGCAACTTGAGTGTGTTTGGATTTTAGTTTTGTTGTACTCAGAGAGATTCAGTTCTAAACTATTTTTAGGCTACCCTTAAAACAAGAAAAGGGCCCCAGACAAACAAAATTCATTATGACATTGGAAACAGCGACTGTCTGATTGTTTTGGTTTTTTTTTTTTTTTTTAGTTATAGACTAACCAGATATGTTTTTAATTCTGTGGTTCTTTATTTTCCTAGAAATTCTCCTACTTTCAAATCCTTTGAGGAAAAAGTTGAAAACTTAAAGGTAAGCATTACTAAAACGCCTTGGTGATTGCGGAGCTGTGGATGAGGAGAAAAGACTGATGAGGACTCTGGGTAGCCTGTTTTTTAGTTATTGGTTAACTGCTGAACATGCTGTCGTGGTTTAACTCCG